TTGGCCCATCCCATTTAACTTGAAGCGGGACGGGACCGGGACGGGACGGGACCGGGACGGGACGGGCCGGCCCGTCCCGTTGGACAGCCATACTCCCAAGTAAGGCATTGTACCTTATGCCACCTTTGATGGCATGAAACTTGGTGTCTTGAACAGTGCCAGACATGTTGACTGGGAGGATGATTTCTCCTCTCGTTGACTCGCTCGCCAGGTTGAATCCACTAAGGATTCGAGAGGTGGATATGACCTGATCGAGCAATCCGAGCTGCTCCACCACCTTCGACCTGATTACGTTGGCCGAGCTACCTAGATCCACGAGCACGCGTTTAATTTGAACGTTATTCAAAAGGAAAAAGATCACTAGTGCATCATTATGCGGTGGGGACGAGGCTGCGATATCTTCTTCTCTAAATATAAGGGCGTCCCTGGCTACATAGCCCCGAGTTTGCTTTTCCATAGCGATGGATACTTTGGCCCTTTTGAACACGGGTCCAGGTGGGATGTAGGTTTCTCCAACGATCATATGAATGATGTGCTGAGGTTCTTCCGGTTCGTTCTTTCCATAAAGCCCAATATCGTTGTTTTCGCGTGTATTTCCTAGGTTAAACATTTTGACCTGAAATCAAAGATCATTGGACAAGAAAAAGTGTGAAGAATAACTTTGTGTTTTTAGAAAACTAGCACCAAAACAATCACTATTATTTTTAGCCCCACGGTGGTCGCCAAACCGTTTACCTTGAAAATGGTAACTACAACTATATTTGATTTTGTGGTTCTAAAAATACGTGATTTATCTTAATACTAGTTGTTGGGTAATAGATGCTAAGTGTGAGTAAAGAAAATAAGAAATCCAAACCTATAAGGTCACAAGGCTGGACCTCGAGCTAGTTGGAGCAGGGCCTCGAGGTCTAGACGGGCTAATAGCTACGAACGATCGATGAAGAATCAATGATAATGAGGGCCTTAAAGATGGCCTTTTGCGGTTAATGATGAGCAATACATGAAGAACAATAATGAACAATGAAAGAATATGCAATAAATGTGAAGAGCAATAGTGTTAGCAAAGGGAGTAGAGAATGTTGTATTGTATTCAATATGTTGTGTAATAATCTGAATCCCCTTATAAAATAACCAGGGTCCCCTTTATATAGGAGGGGGGGTCTTTGTATAGTACACGTCTAATCATGATAGGGATATGCTATTAGTACAGCTGTATAATGACTCTGTAAGGATTTGTACTGTCCTTTGCAGGCTTTGTCAGTCCTCATCACGTGTCTTCAGGAGCCTTCCGCCTTTTCATAACGGTCATCGTCTTACATGTTGCCTCGAGGTGCGTCACGGTGAGTCTTTGATATGCCCTGCCGAGGCGAGTGCTTCGAGGACGAGCCTCGGGCTGTGCTACGATCCCGTTGAGGCCGGTCTTGGAAACGCGATCGAAGCCTTAAAATCGGGCCTCACTAATTTTAACTGTATACAGAATTCTAATTGGTGAGTGAGAGGAAAGGGAAGAATCGCTCTGGTAAATTAGAATGCAGTTAAAAAAGAAGGGGGGGGGGGGGGGAGCAGGAAAAGGGCTCAAAATTTTATATAAATTAAGTATTTTACTTTTTTTTTTTAGTTTGTTTAAAAAAGGTACATCTTTCTATATTTTATAACTTTTTTAATCCAACATTCAAATGGCATGTTTAAGGACTAGATTCAAAGGGCATTTTGTTACATTATGCATATTTTTAGTTTAAGATCATAAAATTTCAAAGTTTCTCTTATTTTCTTAAATTCCTTATCTAGTAAAACTAAGTTATTTAAATTGAAATGGATGGAGTAACATGCATCATAACAAAATACAAGGTTTGTATGGAGCAATGGTTCATAAGAATCGGAGTCCAAAATTCAAAATATTATGATTAATCGAAACTTTTCTAGCAAAAGTAGCTCCTAATTTTTTTTTTGCTTCCATTGCTTCTTTAGCAAATAAAAGAGGAACTGACATATATATACAACATGATCAAAGATGTATTACTTGGCTCCTTCTTTCGCTAAGAGGTCCGCTACCTTGTTTTGCTCCCGATAACTATGTCTGAGAGATGAATTCCGTAGTTTTTTTAGTAATGACCTGTAATCAGAGGCGAATGCAGTACGGTAGTTATGGATTCAATTGAACCCATAACTTTTAATGCGGACTAAAAATTTATGTGTAAAAATTCATTAAAATTTACAAAAATAATAGATTTGAACCCATAACTTTAAAAATATAATTGGTTCAATGTTAAAAATCTTAAAAGTCGAACCCATAGAGTTTAAATCTTGGATCCGCCTCTGCCCGTAATCATTTAAAATTGTGAAGTAAGCAACCATGATCATGAAAAAAAGAAATTAATTAGCTCAAATGCATCTCCGAAGATCTCTAACGGTTTAAAGATTTTCAGATCCTGCAATAGCGCACGCGATTGGGTTCTTTAATTAATTAATCTAACAAGAGATTGTTAATCCAATCAATTTATAAATCATCTGTTGAGTTCTATGTTAATTGCACAATGCAATTTAAACTAGTGAAAAAATAATTCCAAAACCGGACCTGTCTCAATGTTGACTTGATAATAACTTCACTGGCCTGTTCCCATCTGTATAACGCTTTAAGCCTTGATGAACAGAGTTAGCCGATACTTGTTTTGATAGGAGATAGCATGTTTTGTAAATTTAATCGAGATGCGGGTAAGTTAGTCCGAATATCACGGTTATTAAAAAATAACTTCATTGACATGTTGTTTATTAATGACTTCATGATACAGTCGTTTTTAATTTACTGAAGAATTATGGTTGAGGTTATCCTAATTAAGTTCCTAACCTTATGGATAGGTTGTTAGATCGCTCTATCTTGATAATCATCCTTGCTGTTACCGTTATATTTAACAACAGAACATGGGTGTTCAACACAAATAGGAGAGCCTGTACCAATTCCCATATATATATAT